CGCGCTACCGCAAGCCGCCATCTATCACGGGCAGGCCCTCGGGATTCGATTTAACCGCAACCGGGCTGCCAACACGCCGACACGTACACCGAATGATGAGTCAATTACGGCGGCGATTTCAGCCGCGAGGTTGGTAGCGCGTGCTCGCCGGGGAATGGTGCCGCCTGGTGCCGCACCTGCGCGGAACTGGTCAGCCCTGACCCTTCCCACGCCGAGGGCCCTGGCCGAGGCCCTGGCCGCGGCGGCAGGGAGCAGAGGCTCTCATTACAGCGCGTATTTGCGAGTTATCCCAAAGGGGTACCGCTCAAGACACCTTTTTGCGCCGTCGGCGGCGTCGGCCGTGCGCAGCGAGGCTCGGCGCTGTCGTTAGCAGCAACACACACACACACACACACACATGCGCGCGGCGCTTTGCGCCTTTTTTGTCCGGGTAGCGGGGAATGCTATGAGCCGTGTGTGTTAATGGGCGTGTATGTGTGTGTGTATGTGTGTACGCTTTCGTGTCCCCGACGACATTTTCCGAAGGATGAGTGTTAGCATCATTATTATTTTTGGGGTTGGGGCGTACGATGCCGCTCTTCGGAGGGGGGCACCGGCCCCTCGCGTGGTGGCTCCCCGTGCGTCCCGTGCGTGCCGAAAGAACCTCATAAGCCCCCCTGCAGGGCCCCGACGGCCGCCGGGTGGTACCCCTGGGGTCGGGCCCGGCGCAGTCGGAGTGTCCGAGCGGCCGGTATGTGAGAATTTTATCGCTGTGTCTATTGCTATTCGGGACGCACGGCCCATCCATACGTATGGGCCGAGTCGGCGACGGCCGGCCCCGACGCGCCCCGCCACGCCCCGCCACGCCGCGCGCCCAGCGGTGGGGCCTCTGGGGACGCTCAACACCGCGGCTTAAATCTGGAGGAACGACCCATGCAGTGTCCGGCACCGTATATCTCTGGCCGGCGTATTGACGCCGAATCAAAAAGTTTGCTAAAACAAAGTGTTTTGGCTGTGCCAGAGGAACCGTGAAAATGGGCACACACACACACACAGCGAACACACTCTCACGCACACTCAGGGGCCCTTGGTGGCAAACGACTGGGGAAGCGGGGGATCTTAAAAAAGGCAACTTTTGGCAAATCATTAAAGGCTGTTGCGAAGGGCCGCGTCGGTGTGCCTACCTGTTTTCAGGCCGGGCAGCCGAGGCACCAGAGGCCCCAGAGGCCCCAGATATCTTCATCAGTGTGGCTTATTTATACAGACGTGTCGAGTCGTGATTTACGGGCGGACATAAATTGGGGGATCCGTGCTGCGCTGCTGCCCTAGGCCCTCTTGATTCGTGTCTCCTGAGGCCGAGTGTGTGTAGCTGCACACCTCGGCATTGCTCGGCATTGCTTGGCATTGCTTTCGACGCCCGGATTACACTGCCGCTCTAATTCCACCGAATGCGACGAAGCCGGCGCCCCGTCCGCTCTGTCTCCCTCGCACCCATCCGGGCCGTGGCGAGCGCGACAGAGCGCGACAGCGCATGCAGGTCGTCTCGCTGCCGCGCCCAGAGGCGGCCCGGCCAGAGCTCTAATAACAAACCCATTCACTCAAGCCTCCCGAAAGGCCCAAAGGCCCAAAGCGATACCCATAAAATGGCGGCCGGTGCTTCCAGCCAAATGAAAAGTCGGCAACCGGGACGGCAAAACGACGCGAAGCCAGGCCAGCCGGCCAGTCCGTCCAAAGCACATGTTTTAGACTTTGAGACTGTGTTTAGCAAACTGGACTGAGTGATGAATAAATTAAGGCGGCCAGATACTTCCGAACGGTCGGCGCCTTCTTAGCATATCTGTCCCTGTGCAAAGAGAGAGACGGAGGGAGCGCGGTGCGGTGCGGCGCGGCGGATGAAAGCTTCCCCGAAGCCCGGCCAAGCCCGGCCAAGCCTACTGAAAGGTACATAAATGTTGTTTATTGCCGTAAACAACTCAAATTAGGTATCTGTTCCTCCCTGTGCGGGTTCGGCCGGGTTCGGCGGGGCCGAGTGCCCATCAAGTCGGTACCGACCAAGTACCCGCCGCCGCCGTCGGCGGCAGGGCGTCCGCGGGGTCACTTTGATGTCCCCCGGGAGACAAAGCCAGCTCGTTCCATTCCGACTGAAGGACGTCGCGTCTCATAAGTCCCGCCGGCGCGGTCCTCTGGCTTGACCAGGCTAGCCTCTGGACGCGCCGCCCAGAGTGTCAAACAGTTCGAGGAACGGCGCGCTAGGACAACAAGAGCCCCCACACGGTGAAGACGTCGAGGCCGACTTGGGAGTCTCGGGGAGGTCCATGCTAGCGGCGGGACTTCCCTGTGTGTTTGGCCGCGTTTTAAAAACAAAATAATTAAAAACATCTTACCTCGGCGTCTGGAGCAATCGACGCCTGGCAGGGCTTGGCTCGTTGTGACCGGGCGCAATTAGCGGCGTGTGTGCGGATGGCCGCGGCGTGGCGGCGAGGCCGGAGCGTTTCGCGCCCCGCTGCGTTACGGCCCGAGTACAAGCAGGGAAAGCGGCGGCGTGTTTTCAATCAAATAAAACCCAAAAGGCTTGTTGCCCGGCTGTACTACACGGCGTGTTTCACACGACCGCTACACCGCAATCGTCACCGCCCGGGGAATTTCCAACCAGAGTGAAATGTCCACCGAGGCCTGCGCTGGCCGAGACGAATGGCTGTTGCGGCGGCCGAGGCCTGGCGGGCCTGGCGGCGAGGCCGTGCGGTGCCGAGCGGCGAGGCCTGGCGCCGCGCTCGCGCCCCGCGGTAGTAGCCGCTAGTCACGCATGCACCCCGAGCACACATACAACGGCCTGGCAGCCCGACCAATTTATGGACACGTTCGCAATCCGGCCGATATGCGGCGGGCTGCAAAACCGCGCCGACACAAAAACAAAACACGAAAAAAATAAATAAAAAATAAGGATAAATATAATCGGAGCGCGCGCGTTTCCTGGGGCATCAAGCGGCGATGGTTTTACCCTAGGACGCGCTTGAAAGAAACTGGCCCTGGAGTCGGAGGTTGAAGCGGGCAGACCTCAGAGAGAGAGAGAGAGAGAGAGAGAGAGAGAGGCGGCCGAGGTGCGACAGCAACAGCCACATTTTTACGAGCCGCTCGCGGATTGAGTTTGATCCAAGTACCAATATTTGGGGACGGTTAATTGAGGCGAGCAGCGGGGTGGCGCCGAAAAGACGTTGTGTTACGACGCACGCAAACACACTCACACACACACACACACACACACGCACACAAACTCGTTGCCAACAGTTGCCGCTGCCAACTGATCGGGATGTGTCTGCACAAGCAATAAGGTCGGTGGACGTCGGCCTTTCGAAAGAAAGGCCTCCTTTTTTTATGAGCTCGCCAATGGTCACAAATTTTTCGGCGGAGTTGTTTTCTCCAATACTTTTCTAACAGGGTCGCCTGCTTTTCTTTTTTTTAAAAGTGAGTCTGAATCGCCTTGCGCGTTAAGACGTTTAATACGGTGTCGGCAGATATATTATTTTCGGTCCGATCTAAACGTATGCAAGATAGTTGGCGCTGACAAGGCGCGAAGACAAAGTGAGCAGGTGGGCCGCGGCCTGGGCAGCAGCGGCGCGGAGAGAGCTGACAAATCGACTCAAGTGAAATGTGCAGCTGAACCGCGGGGGCACAAAACGCAGCATGCGCAGAATACCAAAGAGCACCTCAGCGCGAGCCTACACGCATGTGTCTGTGCGTGTGTGTTACCAAAGAGATCCACACTCACCTTTTGTCTTTACACTTCGTAAAAATGATCAGGCCGCTCGTCCCATTCAAGGAGTTACTGCACTGCCACGCCGCATTCGCTGTGAGTTAGCACGCGCGGGGGAGAGACCGGCATTACTGCAACAGGTGGCATGGCTAACGGCGTGCGTTTTATTTATTCTTCACAGTAAATGTTGGCAGATTTGTTGGTCGGATGCGCGGGGCATGCGGCAGTAGCAAAGGTAGCACCGTGGTAGTAGCACAACCACGGCTCGGCCATTGGCGAGCTAGGTCATTAGTCGATAATCTACTGCCATTTTCGTGTAGTGCATGTTTTCGCTGAGTTGCAAAGGGATCCTAATGGGTTGAGATGCAGCTCACCATCCTCATGCCGTACGTATTCATTTCTTTGTCATCATTTCAATGTATATGCATTTTTAAAGTTTTCTTTTTTTTAAATTGTTAGCTGGATTGTATTTGGAATAAAAACACTAAACGGTTACAGAAATAAGTGGTTCACATTTATTCCATCACAACAGAAGTCCAATGCGCAATATGAAATAACCATTTAATAATAATTTAAATCTTTGGTCTTTTTAACACATTTCAGCAATTATGAACAATATAAACATCAATAACAAAACAATGGAGTCGCGTCTTCATGATGCGACCTTCCCAATTTACTTTCGCATCCAAGCGCCCTGATACATCAACTTTTATAAAATGAGCTTTTAATAACAACTGAATAATTATTGTTCTTATCGCGAGACATTAAGAACGGTTAATAAGGTATCCTCAGTGTCAATAACTCGTGAGAATACACCAGGTTTTTAAGAGGAGCCAACAAACTCTCCGCTCCTCAACAAAGTAACGTGCTGAAAGCATTCTATCCTGTGATCGAGAATTATAACAACCCCTTCTAGACACAGCACAAAATAAAGCTAAAAATACTGAACAAATACAAGGCTCTTCCAAAATACAGAATTTGCGGCAAAAATAATGTCGCGGTGCAAGCTATAAGAAAACAAAGAGCCGGAGAGCTAAACAACGAATAATAAATTATCACAGATATCGTGCGCAGGGCACAGGAATCGGTCCCTTCCACAAGGCTACTTGGCGCGGTCGTACAGAGCCTACATTGTCCTGTTCGCAGGTAGCACACCGGGCCAGTTTCCATCACTTGCAAATTGCACTTTGAAAAACGCACACTCAACACGCACATTTCCACTAATTTGCAGGCGAGGCTGCAGGCACCCCGCGGGGCCCTACCTGGGGCCCTACCTGGGGGCGGGCCGCAGCCCCACGGGCTTGAAGGCGGGGGCGGTGGCGGGGGGCGGCGAGGGGCGGCCCAGCTCCCGCAGCTCGGGGGAGCTGGAGCAACTGGACGAGGGCGGGCGCGCGGGCAGGCGGGCGAGGTGGTGTAGGTCCGCGGGGTGGAGGTGCTGCTGGTGCTGCTGCAGCTGCAGCTGCTGGAGCTGGTGCTGGTGCTGCAGCAGCTGCAGCGCGCTGTTCCAGAGGCTGATGGCCGTGTCCCCGGAGGACGGTGGCCCGTGTGGCGGTCCGTGGGGCGGCCCGTGAGGCGGCGCGGGCAGCACGAGGGGTGGCACGCCGGGGGCGGCGGGGGGCGGCACGCCGGCCAGCAGGCGCGCGATGGAGAAGCCGTGCGGCGCGGCGGCCCCCGCGGCGATGGGGGTGGGCCTGGCGGGCGTCACTTTGGGGGGCGGCGCGAGCGGCGCGGGCGGCGGCGGCAGCAGGGCGTACCGCGGGTACATCGAGTAGAGCGGCGCCCAGGGCGCGTAGGCCGGCGGCACGCCCGGCACCCCCGGGTACAGTCCGCCCAGCGAGCGGCCGAACGCCGTCAGCCGGTTCCTCGTCGCCGTCGAGCGGCGCCGCAGCTTGCCCGTCGACTGGCCGATGAAGACGTCCTCCGCGCTGGGGTCCAGCATCCAGTAGTTGCCCTTGCCGGGGTCGTCGTAGTGGCGGGGCACCTTCACGAAGCACTTGTTGAGCGACAGGTTGTGGCGGATCGAGTTCTGCCAGCCCTGCTTGTTGTCGCGGTAGTACGGGAAGTTGGTCATGATGTACTCGTAGATGCCGTTGAGCGTGAGCCGCTTGTCCCGCGAGTCGCGGATCGCCATCATGATCATGGCGTTGTACGAGTACGATGGCTTTTCGTGTTTCTTCTTCTCGTCCTTCTCCTTCTTGGACTCGCCCTCCTTGGCGTCGTCCTCACCGGGCTTGTCCTCGTCCACGTTGATGACGGCCTCCTCGTCGTCCTCGTCCTCATCCTCGTCGTCGTCCTCGGGGGCCGCCCTGGCGCTGCAGTCCAGGGGGGCGTCCTCGTCCAGGCCGTGCTCGGCCGTGTCGGGGGACGCGCTGGCGACGACCGTCTCGGGCAAGATGGAGTTGATGCTGAAGGACGACTTGAGTGGCCCTTGGGGGTGCCTCGGCGTCGGCGCCCCCAGGGGTCCCAGAGCGCCGCCCAGGGCGCCCAGGGCCCCGGGCCCAGCCCCAGACGGGCGGGCCATGGCGAGGGCCAGCGTGCCGGCGAGGGTGTGCGGCGGGCACGGCGGGCACGGCGCGGCGGCGTTCACCATCACACACTAGGGCAGCGGCCGGGGCAGCATGGCTCCATGCCGCGCGACCCACTCGGAGCGGCGCGCTCTGCTGACTGATGTCCTCGACGTCCTCGACACTCGTAATTCTGACAGCGATCGCGCGAGCCAGCAGCGACAGCGTGCGGCAGCGCGAGCCGGAGAACAACAACACCGACAACAAGAGGCTCTGCTCGCGGGCCTCGCGGCCTGTTGCCCCGCATTTGACAACTGCCTGGCGTGGCGGGCCGCGGCGGCGGGGTGGGGCGGGGCGGGGAGCGCGGGCGGGTGCGGCAGGCCGCGGCGGAGGGGGAAGGCCCGCCAGGCCGGGCGCATGCGCACCGTGCTGTGCCGCGCGCCGCTGGCTCCTCCTGGTGGCCAATGGTAGCGGCCCTGCCGGCCCTGCCAGTGCGCTGGCCCCGCCCCCAGCGGCCCCGCGACCCGAGCCTGGCCGCGCTGCCAGCCGGCGGCGGGGCGATCGCTTTCACGGCCTCAATGGCATATCAAACACCAATGAGCCACAATTGAGGGCGTGTTTACACAGGCGATGCACTCCCTTCCCCACTCACCGGCCGGGCCGCCCAAAGGCCGCCCGCAGCCCGCCCCGCACGGAGGGATTAGAAAGTGGACAAACGTACTCGAAACTCATTTTCATTTATTCAGTTTAACCAGCTTTGCCGTTAATCGAAGTCGTCTAGAAAGCGGACAGTCTTGAGGCCTTTCCGAGCTGCTCCGCACTGGTCACGCCCCCCAGCCGTTGGTGAGGCCAACTAGAAGTCGATTTCGATCAATGTGGTTTTCTTACCGCGACAGTTGAAGGCACGAAAAAAAATGAACTACAAACGAACCTCCCGAGGTGTCTGCCAGAAGGAACACTAAACTGTGAGAAAATCTGAGTTGTAAGAGGTGGCCCATCTGGCTCTGTCGAAATAAATTCCCCCGGCTATCGCCAGGCTATCGTTGCCGCGTTTGATCGCTATCACGGGGCTCGCGACAGCAGTGCTCCCCTTCCGACACGGCAATCAATTAATTACGAATGCCAGGTCAAAAAGGCGAGCGGGGCGGGCTACATATTGATCGGGGGAGCCAATGCCTTCACGCCCATTCGCAGCGTTCGCAGCGTTCGCAGCCCATCAAGGATTCAGGGCCTGCGTTTTACTCGCTGCAATTTACGGCCACCGACTCGCAGGTTTGCCACCTCCATCACACCCCGCCTCGCCTCGCTTCACCCCTTTGCAGGAACTATCGAGACACACCCATCGTGTCATGCCTCGCAAGGACACAGTTGTGAAAATTGCCTTAGCCAGGGGCGTTGTTGCCCAGGGCCGCAGGGGGGCCAACAGAATGTCCCTCGACCTGCTGGCCCCGCCCTGCCCTATTTCCAGCACCACCACTGTTTTTTTTTACCGTTTTAATTATGACGTATTTGCGTGCCTTTTCATTCCTGTTTGCGTGCAGGCAGGCCTGCCGGCCGCCGCGAGGGCGCTAGTCGTACCAACTGATGCTATCGAAAAACACGAAGCGTTTGTTGTTTGAGACGATAAGGCCTGATGTATTCAATGTGCGTGTTGAGACGCTGGAACAACACCTCGTGTGTACACGCGGTATGGAAATGCCTCGGCAATGCCGCCCGCTTTCTCGCTCGTTCTGCAGAAATGTAAACGAAACCGTCCAATTAGTGTGGCAGCACTGTGGGCCTTATCGACACCCTTCACTGCGTAGAATTGGGCGCGGGCCGGACCGGACTTACCTGCGTTTGCCGCGGCGCGGCACGGCTCGGCACAGCGGCGTGTAATGTATTCCTTTGGAAGTGGCGGCCATCAGTCAGCGCGCGGCCGCGGCTTGCTTAGAAGGCAGGGACTGTTTGTGGAGCAGTGCTGCCAACGGGGCGGATGTGACTCTGTTGTGCCGTGGGATGTGTGTGCGCGCGTGTGAGTGCTGTATGAGCGCGTACTAGAGTTCCAAGCGTGCGGGTCGCGCCCGGTTCACACTGTTCACACGGACAGAACCGAGTCGCATGTGTTCATAGGGGTGGTCTCAGGCTGCCGATTGCAGAGCCCCGCCGGCCCAAAGGCCCCAGGGGACTTATGAAGCATCAAACCGAAGTCAGGGCGCTGGCGCCAGTGGGCCCTCGGAGGCCCTTGGGGGCTCAAGGCCCCACGTGACCACCGAAGCGTCATTACCTCCATGACTAGGCGGAGTGCGAATAGTCGAGAACGATTATGGAGAGAAAACCTCACGGTCATCACTGACTGTGGGACTTTCGCGGCATAGCAAGAGCAGGCCTACAGGAGAGACGTTCGGCTTCAAAATCTCGAACTTGGAACGCCAAAATCGAGTCCCACATGGTCACACGAACTCACGCACACACATGCACTGCTGGAGCGATCTCGCACACATACGCGCACACACACACCTCTTTCAACACGTCTTCATCTCCATTCTTTATTCCCGATTCGATTCGCCTCCGCCTTGTCTTGTCCCCCTCCTCCGGATGACTTCTGTGTGCCGCCAGTCGCGTCGGAAGAATGACAACTTTTTCTACGGAGATTATCTCCAATAACAACGGGGCCGCTATGGCCGTGCCGTGCTGCGCCCGTCTACGGGGTGGTCGCCCGGCCGGGGACCGCGAGCAAATGAGCATCTTAGGGGATATGGGGGGAGGGGGGCTATAAAAGAAATACAAAGTACGTCACAAAATTTAGGAACGGCCCGTGATCTTACCAACTCTTTCCTGAACGAATTTGCTTGGCAGAAAATTAGGTCAAAGCAATCGTGTCGTATTGGGGTCAAAAGTTCAACTGGCCAAAAAAATGCCAAAAACACGGTGGTGTAGTCTGCGACGGCGCTTCCCGGAAGCACGTCTATCCAAATTTTCACCCCCTTCCCCTCGTCCTTGTGGCTCTCCCCTCGCGGTCGAAAAAAGCGGCCCGGCAGTCCATACGTTACCAAGCCCACCGGAATGGAGGCTCATTTTGGATTCGTCGGCTGAGGAAAGGACAAACATTGGTGGAATGGGGAGGGGTGGGCGTCCGCAGCGGGCAGAGCCGGGCACGGCAAGCCGCATGGCTCATGCGCGTATTTTTGTTCCAAGTAATCGAGAAAATTATCACGAGAAAAAGGGGAGCAGGTGTGGGCCGCGCCTTTTGGCTTGCGTCACGCTTTCCTCGAAGCCTTCGGTCTGCCGTGCGCGAAACGCGCCCTTCGTGGAATATCGGAGCACCCGTGTGCCGCTATGCCTTCGAGCCCTTCGAGCCCCGGCCGTCGCAACCTTTACCCTTTCCGTCGGCTCGCCAGACCGTTGCTAAGCCCTATTTCGCACACAGTCTGCCACTGGCGTCGACACTGTTCCTCTTCTTTCCTGCGCCATTCTTTCAACGTTTTCGCGAATAATGGGGGACCCTGCCTACTTTACCGTAATCTGTGAGGCCTCTCCTCGTCAGCCCCCTGCTGCTTATGGAAAGTTGAGTTTATAAAGATGGAGATGTGGCGACGCGAGAAGGCGGTGGGGACGGTGGGCCAGCAAGGCGGTGGGCCAGCAAGGCGGTGGGCGTGCCAAAGCACCGCCCCCTATCCCGGCTCGTTACGGGCTGATCCGTTCCGGGCGATGGGACCGTGGATGGGACGACGGTGCCGTCGACGTGCCGTCCCCTTTGGTGGACACCGCGACGGTGCGGGAGGTCCCGGAGGACCGGAGGCCGGCCTTGTGTGTATCAATGCCGTGTGAGTGTCGGGGTCGTAATGTAGGCCTGTCATGGCGGACGATGAGTCATTTTGCTTTCGTTTCCGTCACCGAATCACGACGCTCGGAGGTTTTTGTTGGGGGTGGTGAGAGAGAGCCTTTCCTCGGGAAAGGCGTGGCGTGCTCGGCGACGAGCTCTGTCGCGCTTGGCGGGGTCTGGCGGTTCCCGGTGGTGCTTAGAGGCTTGGCAGGGCTTCGCGAGGCGTTGTGGGGCCTCCCACATCCCACGGGGGTCTGCCGCGCCCGCCTCGGTCGTGGTCGTGGCACCTGGAGGGGGTGCTGTTCCAACAAGGCACCGTCAATAATCACATACTGCGGTTGGCGTCCAGACCCAACCTATAAGGCGGCCGCGGTTCCAGTCCAGTCTGGTCCAGTCCGACCGCTACAAAACAATGGCGCGGCAGCCTCATCTCGGACAGCTAGGAGAATCTCGGACGAGAAAAACGAAACAACGATGAGGAAAAAATGCAAGAAGAATGACTGTTGAATGAGGAGAAATCAAGTACTACATGGGCGAAGCGGCGCGCATCGGCGGGCCCACTTGTAAGCGAGGGGAGCGTCTAAATGTTATTTTATTGATTTATTATTCTGCCAGGCTGGACGCGCGGGTCGGCAAGGGTTGACGCCCCGCGCGGCCGTGTTGGCGGCGGGGCGGGCACGGCGTGGGGGGCGCGGCGCAGCATGGCCGCCACCGTCGCCTCGCGTCGCCGAGTGGGGGGGACGGACGGACGGCCTGGTGTTTGTACGGGCTTAACTCTACAGAGACATACGACTGTTTTCAAAATATTTCCTTCTTGTTTTCCGCTCCGGCAACATTTTGAGGTGCACAGGTGCGCTATAAGTTGGTGTGTATCCCAAACGCACATGCCAGGCTGCAGTGCGGCCAACACTGCCACTCAGAGTGGAAGTGCGCGCTTCAAAGATGGCGGCGGTAGTTTTTGTTCTTCAAGTGTGTAACTCATACTTGACTGGGTGGACCGCGAACCCGTCTGTGTGTGTGTGTGTGTGTGTGTGTGTGTGTGTGTGTGTGTGTGTGTGCATTACTCTCTGAAGCAGAGGCCAGCCTTCGCAGGGGATGAAGCTTGCTTGTTAATAACATGACGAATTTATTGTTTGTGGTTATCGTTGGTCTGCTTGGAGGGGGTAAGCCAAGACGAGGTGTAAGCAAGTTTTTTAATTCCATATTTTCTTC